CCATGATTAGCCTAGAAATTACTTTTGGTTTAGAAAGGACAATTTTGAAATAGGAAAATACAATAGTACCGAACATGTAATAAAATGCAAAAATTTTGAATGAATTATTTTATTATTCCCTCTTCCTATGTAGTTTGCCCTTTCTAACCCCCCCCCCCCCCCCCCTTCCTTTTTTTTTCTTTTCTTTACTTGGATTCTTTCTGTCTAAATTTATGAAACACATGTTCTCAGGGAGTATAATCACCAAACATCAATGCATAACTTCTAGAGAAGCTATGCAGATAAATAATGAGACATACATCCCAAAGCTGCTAGCTGCTCTCTTAAGTAATGCAATTATCAAGCAGAGTTCTAAAATGTATTGATACAGTATAAAGAATCTCCAAAGTAAAATTAATCTTGAAATTATAGAGCTTAACAGGAATATCTTCCTAGATTTTAATATATATGCATTTTGTCAACCCTGGTGTCTGGAGAGCACAGATTGTTGGTTTTATTTATATTTATGAATACTGCTGACGTGAATCATCTCACAATGTGTTTTTTCACATATGTATTTATCTATCTGCTGAATCAGAGCACAAATAATGAAAGATACAACATTTTCCTTGATTTCCTTCCATTTGTATTTAGTATTGTATTAAGAAAATACTAGATAATCAAAACTCTAAGTTCAGTAGATTCCTTTTAATGATTTCATGGCATGATAAGCAGATTTATATATTCCATAGATCAGCTATGGTATTTCAGGTATTTGTATGCATAAGAACAATTCTTTAGAGGGTTGCAAGGTCATATTTGATGCATTTTACTTTATATTTTGCTTTCATTTTAAATTTATGTACTTAAAAAGAGTGTAAGATGATTCTGATTTCTAGTTCGATATTATTTTTTTTTTTATAAAACCTAATCAACTCCAACATTTTGGCTACTGGATGGATTATATAGCCACAGCATTTCAAAAAATGTTATCATCCAACTCTTTTGTTAAGGTACATATGGATAAAATAGTAGAATATTCTAAGACAGCTACTGTCAGTGGTTTCTTAAAATGTAAATTAGCAAACAAAATGGTGCTATCACTATAAATCTTAAAGCATTAACTAAGACTACTAAAAATATAATGTATGCATAAATTCCTTTCTGATTTTTATTCTGTTTCTTATAATGTTGCTTGAACGTTTCCCCCACTCTTCATGCTAAGGTAACTGGTGATGTAACTCCCAGCTGATCTGTTTTGTGGCTCATTTCCTCACTAAAAAAATGAGATCAGAAGGAATAGGATTATTATTCCACATATGTGAAAATAACAGCTGTATTAATAAATTGTGATTTTGCACCTCATTCCCTGTGATGGGAATTCCAGACACATAAACTGTAAATGCAGGAAGAGGTATAAGGGATTGGAACATAATGCTTGATTCTTCATACCCAGTGACTGTAAAAAACTGCTTCTAGGCCCATGGCAAAAGGAAAAGGTGGCAAAACCAAATTGGATGGATTTTGTACTGGCTGGATTTATAAACAAAAGATAATATAGTCTGTCTGTCTTCTTACGAGAGAAAGAGCACAATCCAGAAGTGTGCCAAATGCTTCTACAATCAACTTGCAGGATTATGCTTATTGTATATAACACATCTCTAATATCACCTATAAACCAGCTGTGGATTTATTTCCTTCTATAAATTATTGACCTACTTGTGTTCCTTTTTTCCCTGGCCGTACTGTCTTTTAGAAACACGTAGATGAACATTTAATCATGTATCTTCTTCTGATGCACTGTCCTTCTTCACAGAATAACATCTCACTTCATAGCTAAATGACACCGGGATGAAGAAAGCTAAATTGAATATTTCTGTGACTAAGTAATAGAAGAAAAATTTTATTATATCTTTAAAAATAAGTCATAGCATTTGCATTAGTCATCACAAAACCCCCTTGTTATTAGACATTTTAAAATGCATTGCACAGGATATGAGTTTATCTAAGGAGGCTTTTAAAAGAAAGATAATCTCCTTACTTAGTCTAATTTTACTTGCATTCCCATTTGAATAGAGCTGAATAATTTCTTCTTTGTACCAATAAACAGATAGATCAGCAAGACGCACTTTTAATGCACGGACCAAACTGCCTGCTTTCATACCTCATTGCTTACACTGGTTTTAAACCAAGATAAAAAGATTCCCTATATATATATATATATATATATAAGTCAGAGTTCTTAGTGTTGTTTCAGGTATATACCATTGTCAAACTGAATTGTTTATATTCTGAGGGGACATGCGTGGGGGGGGTGTTAAGAACCAACCTGACTCTACACAAGTTAAAGTTTATGAAAATGACAGTATATTAAAAAATTATTTGAGTGGCTAAACCCCCAGTAAATTAAGCAAAAGTGGTGTTATGTGAACTGAAAAGCACTTAAAAGCTATAGACACCTTTCTAGAGGCCCTATCACTTGAGCAACTTCATAAGGATTCTTGTGTATTTATAAAATCTTTGAAGTACAACAAACCCGTGCTTTGTTGAAGTAGTTCCTATCTGCTTAAAACTGGATGTCTAAAACTGTGCAGGTGTGACTGACTTTGCCAAATAGAACTGTAGCTGAAATACAGATTAAGAAAAGAAAAAAAGAAAGAGATAATGACTGTGCAGTGTTAACACATGAAATGGTAAGATGAGGTTGGATTGCTGTGCAAACAGTCTCTCAGAGATTAGATAAAACCTAGAAGAACAAAATACAAAGCAAGCATGCAAAAGATCTGGAATGCTGCAGATTCACAGACAGCTGGACATGTAAGTACAAAAACCCCAGTCTGTAAATACAAATTGATTCCATCAGGTTTACTATACAGTACTTTAGTAGTAACAGACAGTTGAAAACAGCTTTCACTTAACAGCAAAATTAATTTTAGAGGGAAGAAAATGATCTCATCCTGGAGAACAGCAAGAGAGGTATTATATTAAGGAGCTAAAATTTTCTTTGGCATGGTAAAAGGGGAGAACTGAGTTTGCCAACCTATTTACATGAAGTTTCACCATCCTGTGGCCAGTGCAATGATATTTTGCACACTCTACTTCTTACATAAACTTTTTTATTGTTTTCTGGTATGCCTTCATATAAATGTTTTATTCATCATTTTGAATCTGTGTATACGACAAATAAGAATAAACACAAATTGTACAATGCAGACAAACTCTTTGCATATATGTATGTAAATTTAGTAATATTGACCAACAGATCTTTGACAGACACAACCTACTACATGCAGTTCATCTTTGCCATCCTCTTCCCATGCAACATATGAGACAAGAGACAAAATTAAAGGGAGGAAACAAAGCACAAAGACCCCTTTGCCATGTTTAAACAGACTGTAGAAAAAATATTTTTAGGACATCTATTCAGTAGAGTAAACTCACATATGGATTTAGCCCATAGAAACAAAAAATGAAAAGAAAAAAAAATGCTGTATTTCCAGTATGTGCTAACTGCTTACAAAAATTAAATCTTGCCTTAATTAGAGCCTCCCAAGCTGGTTTGCAGATCATAATGACTCAGGATCAGAAGTTTAATGTTGAAAACAATTCTTATGTAGCATCAAGCTGTGAACCAGAACCTCCTTGCATGGCTCAGCCAGGTCTCCAGCCCTGTTCTCCCCAGACTCTTACACTGGAAGAGTAAAAAGATGGCTGGATGGGACACGAACACATGTATTCCCTCCTCGTGAACTCTTACAGAACTCAGGTAAGAGAGGAAGGAGTGCAGCCTTCAGCTGTATTATCTTCTTCAAAATATTGTAGGAAAGCCTAGTGCCTCATCAGGGACCTGGCAGACAGTACAACATCAAGACTGCTGCCTCTCATTGGTCCTCCAGATGAAGAGCAAGCTCGCAGCTCACCATGTAGGTTGCTTTGGTTTGGTTTCGTTTTCTCAGGGATGGTGCACAAATCCCACTGGACCAGGTGGGATGAGAAGGGTGCACCAAAGTTTAATAGAGTGTTGTTTTCCCCATGCACACATAGTTAGTGCTAGCAGGCAAGGGCACAGTCTAAGTCAAAGTTTCTTTGCATTTTTATCACAGTATTAGAGTAGGTTTGTATTTTATTTTTTTTTTATCTACATGGATAGCGGGTTTCATGCTTAACTCATTCCCTCCCTAGAAAGACCCAACATCAAGTGTTAGCTTGCTGTTCTCATATTACAGATATAAACAAGGAAGTCTGGCCTACAAAAAAAAAAACCAAAACTCTAATATAGCAGCTTTACAGTAGCCTCCTAGAGAGTGCACTAAATGTTGCTTATAAAAACAGAACACATTTGAAAACTAGCATGAAGAGTTCATTCAGACTGAATCAGTTCAGCTGAGCAGAGAGGGAGTTTGAAATAACCTGCGGTCTCTGCTAGGGACTTCAGCACAAAGATGTGATAAAACAAATTGCCAGAAATACAGTGCTAAAAAAAGAATTCATGGTTCCCATTTTTTTTTGTCTTTAAATATCAAGGTAACAGCAAGAGGCCAAGAGAGCATTGCCACACAATTTTCCAGACTGAGGTACAGTTTGGTCCTTGTTGCCCTCTCTGAGAAACAAATACCTTCTTAAGCATACAGAGAGTACCCATACTTTTAGTCTTCTGAAAGCTTGCGACTAAGTGTGTAATACTTCAGTGGCATCTCTGTGGCATTCTCTAAATCTTCTCCCTCCCCTCTCAACATTGGTTTAATTGCTCACAAGTGGCAAACTCAAAGGGTTTATGTTGTTTCTGGTAATATGATTCAAGGCTTCGATTTTATAATGTTTTTGATTTCTTCTAGGTTCATGTAGGAGAAAGTACAGTATACAGAGATCAAGGCAAGGCACCTTCAATCTAGCAATTTGGTGGGCATATATTATCCTAGGAAGCTGGGTGGAGGTATGTACTGGGATATCAGTGAGATACATAGGACCGGACTTTGCATGCTTAGCTAAAAAAAAACAACAAAGGTTTGCAATATGTCCAGTTTTAAAACTTTTTTTTTTTAAAACACAAGAAATATTAAACTATAATTTGTAACTACCCTTTGCATTGGTGCTGCAAAAAAGAACACAACGACATCCTTGCCCATGCTTTGCTAAGTAGGAGTGGGATTCAGCCAAAAATAACAATGGCATTAAGTTCAGTTCCTTAAAAACAGGAAAGGATTATATTTGAAATGGATTTAGGTAGCGCAATTCTGGTTAGTCTTACTTATTTTTTATTTTTTTTTAATTGGTGGTGGTTGTTTTTCAAACAATGAAGATTTAGTAGATGAAAAATGAGCCTTAATTCAGGCCTACAAGGCCTACAAAATTCTTTGGACCCACTGTCCCAAAAATGAGTGGGTCTTGCTCGCTGGGCAAGGCAAATGTTACCATTACCAGTAAGCCTGTGATATGTATAAAACACACACACAAAAAGAAACTAAAGGGGGATGCCAAACACTTCTTTCAGAAAACTTCCTGTTGGTTGTGTTTGACACTCTTCCCTCCACTATAATGCCAACCTCAGAAGCACAGTATCTGTTCTAAAGAGTATTCACATTTAATCATTATGGTAAGCCAGAGACAACAATCCTATTCTTTATAGATATAATTTGGAATAATTAATAGATTTTGAAGGCTTCCTGATTCCCTGATTGCTTTCAAAACTAAGCCACCGGCAACATTAAGTTATAGAGAAACACAATCCCTGCAAAAGGTCACAGACAGTGGAGCGAGCAGCCTTATAAAAAAGGGGAGAAATCCATAACAGCACAGGTTTACAGCATCTAACTAGAAATTACTTGATTATTTGTGTGCTACAAAATAGAACTTAAACACATGGATTTTGCTGAAACTGGACTCAAAAAGGGATTATGGGCAATTGTCAGCAGGCAAGGTATCAAGTGTACTTGTGAAGTATGTCATTCACATGAAGTGTCACAGTCACAGAAAAGATATTAAAAAGGCATTCCAATATCTGGTAGGGCATTCCATGGTCTGAGTTTAGCTGGTTCATCCAGGTGTCTTCTTGTTGTGGGTGGAGCTACATGTTGAGATTTATCCACTTGCAACAACTCAGTTCAGAAACAGCAACGGGCAAGTCTGTGACTTGCCGCAAGCTGATCCACAGACACTGCAGCGGGGAAGTCTGGCAAGGATAAATGGCTCAACTGTACTCGGGACTCAGTAAGTCACAACACCTGTGAGGATCTGGCTATGTCGTCTTACTCTTGTTAACTGGTTTGCCGCCATTCATTATTGCAGATGCACTTGTGCTTTTACTTGGAGTTACCCCAGCCTTTGGCACTGTTTCTCCAATATCATGCAAAGATGGTTCTCGATACATGGCAACTGAGGGGAGAAAAGAGAAAAGGAGAGATATTTGTAAGAATGTACGTCATTGAAGAGCTCATCTCAAATAGGATCAATTTTCTACAACAAATGATATTGCAATATAATCTATGCTCCTCTCACAAGCATGAGGGAAACTACTCCAACAGACACTTGTTTGCATGACTGGTAGCTTTGCTTGACCCTCCAAATTTCTCACTTCTGTATCTGACTTAAAAACACAGTAGGAAACTGTACGCTTGCTTGTTTAATAAAAACTACAGAAGCCTTGGAAATGTAGAACTACTGTCTTTGCATAAGGCAGACACACAAAAATGTACATATATGCACATACATATATACATGTGTATATATATATGTAGCCCTTAAGTAAACACTCTGCAAGTTTTTAGAAGTAAAATATGGTAAGACAGATGGTGTTTAACAAATGGATCATATGATACAGTTGTCTAGACTAAAGCGTTCTTTTTTAGTCATACATGCCAGACTAAGTTTGGGTCCAGTTCTAAAAAGTTATTTGTACACCTTTCTCCAAAATCTGAGGACCTTGGTCATGATGTCTTCAGATGTGTACTGAAGAAATGTGCAGGACAGTATTGCAGAGAGTACACAAGAGATTTGAGGGTTTTTTCTTCCTCTTTTCCAAAAACATAGGCAGTAGTCACTGATCTCCACTCAATACAAAAGCGCAGAAATTTCCACATCAAGCTGTTAACTGAATTCTTAGAGGAATTACAAGTTTGCCCCTGGGCGTCAGTCCCTATCTAACCTCTTCAAATCCTTTGAGGAAAATACATGTTTTCAATTACACAGTTCCAGCATTATGCTGCCTTAATGATTAATGCTCTTGGATAATTCAATTTCATTTTCACTGTCACTGTATCAGGTAATATTCCCACATATAACTAACTTCAGTAGCACTTATTTGTATCAGAGCAACATTAAAAGAGATGTCAAAGCAGTCAAAGGGACTAATCATCACAGTGTGATTTTGGGACTGGCTGTGTGCTGCCATAGAGAGCACAATCCCTTCATGTCTTGGCTAATTAGAGTAGGAGGCTGGAGCATCGAAGTTCTGACCTTGATCTTCAGTGGTGTGAAGTTTCATAATAAATATGAAGGGCCCCATAGCATCATTAACTAATCAAACACTTGTTCTAATATTTCCAATGACATAATCTAACTCCTTCTATGGCTTCTGAAAGTCTGAAATTAAATGTCTTCTCTAGAGTACATAACGCTGGTTATGTTCTATGTTTTCAGAGGGTACACATTACTGTGTTTAGGATACTTTGCTGATTTAATTAAAGAGCTTGATGAAATAACATAGTAACCTATGAAAATATGAAGTCAAATAACATGAGCTGGAACTATAAAGTAAGGAATTATATAGAAGAGCTGTCAAATTTGATGACTCTCGTGGGCAATGTAAAGTGAGTTATTTCTAAGTCTTGTCTAAGATATTTTGATAGAGTATGACCATCCGAACATTAAGGAAAAAAAAGTAACCTGTTTCCTAATCCATATGAAGGTTGGCATTGCTTTTAAAAATGCTCTGGCTTTCCCTCCATACCATTCTTATAATTTAAGATAAAGAGATGGAGATAGAAAGTGTCAGTATTGTTGAGAGCTCAAGATGAGGAAAGCATGAAGGCATCAACCTGAGTTCAAACAGGAAGTTAAGACACCGGATTATTCAGATTCATTTCTTACGATGAAACTCTAAAACATTTAACAAACTGATCCTTTAATCAGAAAAATTAAGTTATAATGTTAAAAGAAATAGGACTACTAACTATAAAACATTACTCAGGTACATGTTTTCAGATGTTAAGTAATGATATAATTTTCTGAGGCTATGTATAGCAGTAATATCAATGAAATTTGGAGTGCCATGAGGATAAGAAGCAAAAAGCAGCATATGTTTATAAAGGCCTGTAGATATATAGGATAACCGAAAAGCACCAAGATATGAATGAATTTATTTTTCAGAGAATGCGTGACATCATTTTAGTGTGTAAGGTTAGTATGACTTTATTCGCTTCTGTCTTGGTTTAAAGGCCAACTAACACAAGTCATGTGCATTACATCAACCGGCTAAGTAAAACAGTGTGATTTATTTTATGAAGAGACCTTTGTGTTTTGTATTAGAAAGCTTTTACTTTGAAATGCTGACATTTCAACCATTCCCTTTATAACTCCCAATTATTCTACAATATCCATTATTTCATTCTGCCTAATGAAAGGACTATTTTCTCACTGCAAGACTCACAACAGCTTTTGTCCCTACCAAGAGAATAATGCACTTCCACAGAAGATTTCTTTTCTTGCAAAATGACCTCTTAATCCCTGGTAAAAAATGTTTTTACGTACGCCCTTTCTAGGATTATTATGCTGAAGCACAAAATCACTCCATGAATCCTGGGGACTGTCATTTCAAATGGCCCCTGTGCAGGGCATGCACATTCACAAAGGGTGTTTCAGGAACCATTCCCTCTTCTTCTTGTAAGATTTATCAGAGGATCTGCAAGCAATGGACTGAGCCTTACCTTCCAATGGCTTGGGTAGAAAATGAGCTGCTGGTTTTGTTTTCTTCACTCTGTTTCCTTTCATGACCTGCCCTTCCTTGTTCAGCCCCAAGAACCAGGCTCTCCCGGACTCCTGTTGTCTGTAGAGCATGGATGAGTAGATTACATAATAATTTTCAAAAACAGACTCCTTGAATTTGCACTCTGGTGTAAAAAGTTCCTGTGGGAGGAAAAGTAAATGTTAAATGTTATCTCTAATGCACGACTTCTGTTTTGTTAACTTAAAACCACCTCTTCATAAGTTTAATATATGACATTATAAGGGCCTGCTTTGAGACCAGGAGATCTGTCTTCCTCTAGAAGACCTTCAGGTGAAGTTATTTCACCTCACATAGATGCCTCTGTTTTCCCACCTGTGCAACAGGAATGGTATATTTTCAAAGTAGAAAGGAAGCAACACAGGCATTAAAACACTGTTTAAAAACCAGGCATAATTATTACTGTGCTTATTTTACTGGTAGGATATACTTGTACAGGTATACTTGTATACTTGTACAGATTACAGCCTCTGCTAAAATAGCATTATTGAGAAATCAGTTGTTCCATTTTTATATACTAAATGCAACAAACTCCCTCTATGGTTTATAACAACTAATATTTGATACTTCAAAAATGCTGCTACCAACATACCAAAATACATATAATTTCCTAGAGTCCTCGTGGCCTGAAACATCACAGGAGAACACTATTTTGATGTACAAATTTCTGTACAAAGAAAAATAATTCCTACTGACACCCTCAGCATCCATCCCAAACCTGGAATGCTTTTCAGGTGTCATGTTTAGTATCAGAACAGTAACCTTTACCAAGGTTAGCCTAAGCACAAACTTCAGTAGTCCAGTAGCTATATAATAATTTAAATATATTTTTAATAACACAAGTAACTAACAAAATAAACAGTGTGAACATATATTGAGACAGAGTTTACCAAAATCCTTAAAAAAACCAAGCAAGTTAATAAGCAAATAACATCACATTTAAAATATCGTGAGAAAGGATTCTATGTGAATGTGGTTTTCTGTCTTTGGACACAGCTGCTGAAACCTGTGGAAGATATAAGACATAAAAGGGGGAGGCAGATGTGGAAAAGTGGAAGGTAACTTAGTAAACCTTCAGAGCACAGAGTTCTCAGCCCTGAATCCTCTTTTTTATATTTCTTTCTGTTATCTTTCCCAAGAAGTAAAAATCTGGAAATGTATTATATTTTCACTTCTCCATTCACAGTATATTTTTTTTCCCTCATTTCTTTTTGCTCCTGGCCCCATGCAGTACTGAGTTAATACTCAGCACGTAATGTCTTTTCGGAGTCTCTATGCCATCTCCAGATGCCTATATTTTGTAAGAATTGTAAGAATCTCAGCCGCTTCTGTCACAGATTTCCTTTCTGGAAATGAAAGTCTTTAAAGACACAGTTCACCAGAAAGCACAGATGAAGTAGCTTTCTGAATCTGCACCACATGTCACAGTGCACAACCGAGTTCTCTTAATGTTATCTCTTACTATTTGTATTTTTATTGCCATGGCTTGAGTTTCTACCTGTAAGCAAAGCTGTCTTGATGGACACTGGGCATACTATTAGCCTTCTCAATTATGGAGCATAATATAACCTCAAATAAAAAGTATCAGTGTATTTTATCCAACAACAGACTAAAACCAGTAACTGCAGCAACTGGGAAATAATTTGTGTACCTAAAATAGGTTGCTTTGTCTGTGTACACTTGTGTGTACACACTCATATATGCATAAATAAGTGTCTACAGGTCACACATTTACAGATGCAAAAAATTTTCTCTGATGTGTGCAATCTTTGCACTCCCACTTCACTACCACCTATGTGCACAACTGTATTTATGTACACACGCAGAAATGCAAATACAGTCTGTACAAGAGGCACTGAAAACTCATGTCAGGAAATACCTTAGTCGCACCTTCTCCTTTGCCACAGGGCTTTTTCTCCCTCTGTTCCAAGACTTTAAGACATCTGTTGTTTGTGTTATTCTCCTTTCTCCTCCACTGATTTCAAATTACAGTAGGGCTCAAGGAGACTCAAAATAAAACCAGAAGGCAGGGTGGCAAGCTAGAGGAAATGCCTGTTAAAGCCTAGCACAAGCATTTGCATGCGAGTCATGTTCCTCCACTGTTGAAACAGCAGATGCTAATCAGGAAATGCCTACACAGTTCTCCTTATTACCTGCTTCACTGCAAGTGCTACCCCGTGTTCCCCACTAAGTTTTACTTCCTTGTAAAGCTCAATTACCATAAACACTACTTCTTAGCCAATCCTCACTTTTTTTGCTATAAACAAAAGCTGTTTGTCATTCCATGCTCTTCTGTACCAGGCTCTGTAAATACTATTTGTGTGTTTTCCCAAACAATGTCCATTAGGATACTGAAACAAGATTCCTTCAAATCATATCCCTCCTCTGAATCAATGAAACCTGGCTCTTTACTCTCTCATTCTTTGGCACATACAGTAGTGTTTCTGACAGCGCACAGCAGATGAAGCTGTAGGAATTTATTTACCAAGTCCAAAAACCCTAGGTATTTACTTTACCAAGTGGAAAAAAAAATGGTTTATGTCAACACAATTGGCTACTGCTGGATGCAGACTGATAGACTGGACAAACCGGCATCGTTCCTATTTCTTAGTCATGAAAAACATAGTAATAGTCTGCTTATTTTTTTTTGGCATACAAGAAAGAGCCATACCTGAACACTGCATTCTGCCTAAAAGTACTGCAGCTATCTTACTCCACATGTCTGCGTAGTGCAACAGCTTTGGACAGGGTTTGCATTCATCCAGTATATTAGGATGCAGTTCTGCCTGGGATAAACTTGCAGCCCAAAAGTCCCTTTAATATATGTTACTTTAAAGCAAGCTAATAGTTCCACCAAGGTGGGGAGTACTCATGAGTGAAAATTAAGCACTTGACAATGACTATGATGAATGGCAGGATGAGTTCCTTGGAGGAAAGAATTACACAGAAGGGGAGTTCTGAAATGGGCACCTTCCCCGGGGCTCAGGTGGAAACTGACTATTTCTAAGTTGAGAGTGATGTCTAAAGCCTTGTCTCAGACACTATCTCAGCTGGCTGAAAAGCTGTAAGGACTTATATTTTCTCCAGTAAAGCAGGAGACCTAAGATGCTGTTTCTGCATGCAACTAGGACAAATCTAGATCTGTATACTTAAGACTCAACCCAGTAAGAACTCTCAGAAAATGACTAATGTGCTAACAGCACTGACTTTAAAAAAATTCATCCACAGATGACTTTATTCAAATCCAGTACTGGAGGGAAAGGCAGTACAATGGCATTTTATAAGAGAAACTCAAATAACGAGGGCACTCCCCTAGGCTACCTGCCTATCTGTATCCAACCTGAAGGAATCCAAATCTGCATCTGGCTGATATGAATCATTTTTCCTGCAAGAATGACTTTTTGGGGTTTGAAGTTTTCATTCACTTCCTAGTACAGGACATTTTGTATTAGGAAGTGAATGAATAATTTGCAAAACTAGACATGATTTGCAAACAAGAACTTGTCTTCCCCGGTCAGTGCCCAGATTTAACATGTAGTCATATATAAAAGGTGGTTTTCTCCTGTCAAAGCAACATTTGAAAAACAAACTACATACCAGCTGCCAATTTCCAAAACCCCAGGAGTGAGGTTTGGCTGTCAGCTGCAATATGACACAGCATCCTGGGTCCTACAGAAATGAAGGATGTATTAAATTGTACCTTGCTGAGAAGAAATTTTACTTGGATATTTTTGCCAGCTTCCCATCAAGCTTTTGCTTGATGTGAGGCCTATTTGGAGATGTTTTAATTCTCCCAGTTGCTGTAGCATTAATAAATATCACGACTCACAGGTTGTGGGTTCAAACTCTTGGAATCAAAAAGTTCTGTCATTGGGGAGTTCTTAGATTTGGAGTCCCCACCAGTGCTGACAAAACTCAGAGGTGTATTATATCATAATAGTGGAGCTTTACATTATGGAGTCACACGGTGGTGTCAGATTCTACTTTCATGTAAAAACAAAACACAAATGAAATAAAGAAAAAAGCCATTATCCACATCACAGATGTAGGAGTGCCTGAATGAAGGAGCTCAGGTTATCTGTGCTGTCAACATGGAGATGCAAGGATTGTTGGAAAGCAATTCAGATGACAGCTGACATGAATTCCCTATCAAGTAGTCTTTCTGTCAATCAGAGGCTGAAGTCTGACATGATGAAGCTAGGCCTCCATGCTAATCGATAATACAGTACTGTAGCAAATGGCTATAGTTTAAAATGCAAGTACAGCAAACTTCAGTGTCCTACAAGCCATTGAGTAAACTACGATATTTGGATGAGTTATCAGTGTAACTTTCAATTGCTGGGCTTTCACAATTTAGCCTGTTCAATTTTGCCAGCTTTAATGAAGAGCACATATTCATTTGTAGCTACAGTCCTTCAATTAAAACAATTCCCTCAAAACATGGAGTTTTTCTATGACAGCTCTCAGAAAGAAGAAATAATTATGCAGCTATGGACAAGACGCCTATGCTGCGGACCAGATGTGAGAAGTAAAAACTAGCATGACAACACTGCTAGCCATTGTTTAAAATCTAAAAAGATATTGTTTAAAACTACATGAAACCCTGTAATTTTAAACTATACCTCTGTTCAGTAAGTCAATGAATAATTAACTGTCAAAGCCAAACAAAAAGTAAATTTCCACTGCACACCATGAGGAAAAATCTAAGACTCCAGCTCTACCATGGTCATCAAACCCAGTAGTTCCAAGGATAAGGGCTTCCACAAAAGTTTCCTGCCTCCTACTCCTGCACTTTCAAGCCTCTTTAGATTTCTGTTTTATTCTGAAATATAGGAAAGGAGTGTATCATTCTACTTACAGCTCACAGAACAGATATAGCTAGCAGTCAGCCTCTTGAACTGTAGCCAGCAGCAAATAACGAGGATTCCCTTGGAGATGGGCACAGTGGGTCTCACTCATCACACCAGACAGCAAAAGCACAGCTGCAGGCTGAACTAGCTACAGCTTCTCCTTGGTGCCAAAGAGAAAACACAACTGCAAGACAAACTCAAAGAGACTGCCAGGCAAGGAACAGCCATTCTAATCAAGCACTGGAGAAAATACTTCATACTGTTTACCATTT